TAAGTTCTCGCGTGTTTAGAGATGCGCCACACTCGCGTTTTAGGTGCGGGAATCCCAACCAATTGTTACCTAACTTTTTAAAGATGCTACTTTTAGCTCTGCCCTAAATCTACACACGTGTAATTCACTTGTGGAAGTCTATATATTTGGACAGTACTTGGGCGAGAGATTCTTGCCCCCTATCAACTTTGTTTTCTCTCGTAAGTTCTCGCGCGTTTAGAGATGCGCCACACTCCCGTTCAGGTGCTAGAGTCTTAACCATAGCTTACATAAGTTTTTAAAGATGCTACTTTTAGCGCTCCCCCAAATCTACAGACGTGTATTTTACTTGTTGAAGTATTTCGATTTGGACAGTGCTTGGGTAAGAGATTCTCGCCCATATCAACTTTGTTTTTGCTAGTAAATTCTTGGGCGTGTAGAGATGCGCCACACTCGTGGTTTTGGTGTCGGGATCTCAAACTATGCTTACTGGACTTTTTAAAGATGGTAGATGTGGCCCTTTTTCAAATCTACACACGTGTATTTTACTTGTGGTAGTCTGTCGCTTTGGACCATGCTTGGGTTGGGGATTGTCGTACATTTATATTTTTCTCTCTCGCGTGTTTTCGCGCGCCTAACAATTCAGCAAACTTGCGTTTTTGATTTGGGGATCCCAAACTATGCTTACGGGGCTCTTTAAAATTGCTAGTTTTGGCCCTCCCCCAAATCTACACAAACTTATTTTACATGTGGAAGTGTATCGATTTTGGATAGTGCTTAGGTTGAAGATTCTCGTCCAAATCAACTTGCTTATCTCTCGTAAGTTCTCGTGCGTTTGGTGATGCGCCACACACGCGTTTTAGGTGCGGGGATCCCAACCAATGCTTATCTAACTTTTTAAAGATGCTACTTTTACCCCTCCCCCAAAGCTACACACGTGTATTTTACTTGTGGAAGTGTATTGATCTGCACAGTGCTTGGGTAAGAGATTCTCGCCTATATCAACTTTCTTTTCGCTTCTAAGTTCTCGCGCGTTTAGAAATCCACTACACTCGCGGTTTTGGTCACGGGATCTTAAACTATGTTTATTGGACTTTTTAAAGATGCTAGATTTGGCCCTTTCTTAAATGTACACACCTGTATTCCACTTGCGGAAGTCTTTCGCTTTGGAAAATGCTCGGGTTAAATATTTTCCCCCATTGATATCTTTAATCACTCGCGTGTTTTCGCCCGTCTAGCAATGCGGCAAACTCGCGTTTTTGGTTTGGGGATCCCAAACTATGCTTACGGGGCTCTTTAAAAATGCTAGTTTTGGAACTCCCCCAAATCTACACAAACGTATTTCACTTGTGGAAGTCTATCGATTTGGACAGTGCTTAGGTTGGAGATTCTCGCCCAAATCAACTTTCTTATCTCTCGTAAGTTCTCGCGCGTTTAGAGATACGCCACACTCGCGCTTTAGGTGCGGGGAACCCAATCAATGCTTACCTAACTTTTTAAAGATGCTACTTTTACCGCTCCCCCAAATCTAAACACGTGTATTTTACTCGTGGCAGTCTATTGATCTGGAGAGTTCTCAAAGTCGCCGACACCGGGCTACGCGCAGCGTGATTTTGACCAAATTTGGGTCGATTTCCAGGAACTTGAGTGATATTTTCGAGTCCCAAGGACTCTCAACTAATTCAAGAAGACGTTGGTTTTTATTGAAATGGACAGAGGAAAAATTTTTGAACGCTTGGTTATGAGCAGTCTGGCTGAAATATAGCCACTTAGTGACCAGGAAGTCGCTGAGACCGGACTACGCGCAGCATGATTTTCAGCAATTTTCGTTCGATTTCCAGAAACTTGAGCGATATTTCCGAGTCCCAGGGACTCTAAACTAATTCAAGAAAACACGCGAGGAAAAAAAAAATATAAATGGGCGAGAATCTTTAACCCAGGAATTGTCCAAAGCGGCAGACTTCTACAAGTGAAATACACGTGTGTAGATNACTACGCGCAGCATGATTTTCAGCAATTTTCGTTCGATTTCCAGAAACTTGGGCGATATTTCCGAGTCCCAGGGACTCTAAACTAATTCAAGAAAACACGCGAGGAAAAAAAAATATAAATGGGCGAGAATCTTTAACCCAGGAATTGTCCAAAGCGGCAGACTTCTACAAGTGAAATACACGTGTGTAGATTTGAGAGAGGGCCAAATCTAGCATTTTCAAAAAGTCCAGTAAGCATAGTTTGAGAAGCAGACACCGAAATTACGAATTTGGCGTATCTCTAAACGCGCGAAAACACGCAAGAGAAAAAAATATAATGGGCGAGAATCTCCAATCCAAGCATTATTTAAAGCGACAGCCTGCCACAAGTGAAATACACGTGTGTAGATTTAAGAAAGGGCTAAATCTAGCATCTTTAAAAAGTCCAGTAAACATAGTTTAAGATTCCGACACAAAAGCCGCGAGTGTGGCGCATCTCTAAGCGCGCGAGAACTTACTAGAGAAAAGAAAGTTGATATGGACGAGAATCTCTCACCGAAGCACTATCCAAATGGATACACTTCCACAAGTGAAATACACGTGTG